TTGTTGTTTACACTATTATAACTACGTCAACACTGCTCACTGCTAAGTCAAGTGGTGAACCCTGCTTAGGTTTTCTCTTTGTCTTTCCTGGAGTTAATATTTGCTTTGCTTTCTTTTTCATCTGCTGAGTTTGTTCCTATAGCTAATATCTCCTACCTCATCCAGGAGGCTCTCCAGTTTTGAATCTAGTCAGATACATCCTATATTCCATCAGGTCCTCGTTTCCCTGTCACCCTCTGCCCTCTTGTCCTATTCTGGGCTGGTTGCTTTCTGGGCTCCTCCTCCAGGCTGGTGGGCAGAATCTCTACGTCCCCTTCATGGACCAGACAGCCCCTTCTCAGCCTGTATGGTCATGGTGGAAGCCTGGCTCCAGCTCCCGTTTGAGAAATGGCCTGTGGCCTCAACTCCTTCCCACCGTGGCCTTAACTCCCTGACCTTAGTGGCGTGAGGCCAACTCCAAGCCCTGTGTAGGCTGCTTGGTCTCCACCCTGCTCACCCCTGGGCCTTGCCTTCCGCCTTGTCTCCAGCTCTGCGGAGCTCCCTCCCTTCTGAATTTTCACATTTGTACATTTAAAGAGCGACCTATATTCCCTGGCTTGTGACCGTGTTGGACCAGGAAGGGGGTCCAGCTCCTCCGCCATCTTGGCCGGAGTTGCAGCAGACACTCGTGGGGTTCTGCTTGTACCCCCAGGCCTGACCTGCCTTGCCCAGCGGTAGGGCTTTCAGCGGCCCCAGGCTGGAGCCCGCTCCGCTAGGCAGCTCAGGCTCACGAGGCTGCACAAAGAATCCGTGCCTCCTCCCCATGACATGCTTAAAAATAAACTTTGTGTTTTCTAACAATCTCAAGCTTTCAGAGAAGTTAGAAGTTGCAAGAATGGTACAGGAACACCACCCCTCATGCCCCACAAACCATTTGAGAGTGAACTGCCGACATGGGGCTCTATCCCTCACACCCCACAGCACCAAGTCCCAGGTAGGGCTGCTGCCCTCTGAGCCTCAGGCCACATCCGAGGCTTTCTGGTCCCTCCAGTAACATCGTTTCTAGTAACGAGATCCAGTCAGGGACCACATGTTGCCCTGAGCCATCGTATCTTTCGTCTCCATCAGTCCGGAATATTCCTCAGCCTTTCCCTGACTGTCACGAGCCTGACACCTTTGAAGGTTCCAGGCCCGTCTTTCTGTACAAAGTCCCTCTGTGTGGGTGTCGGAGGTTTCGTCACGGTCAGGTGCAGGTTATGCCTCTTTGGCAGGAGAGTCACAGAAGTGAGCAAGCATCCCACCCTGTCAGGTGGTGCAGGGTTACGATTGATCTGATGACCGCTGGTGTCCACGGATGGCTCGGTTTGGGTGGTACTTGACAGGGTCCCCCGGGAACTCACTGTTCTTCCTTTCACAGTTGACGGGAGCCTTGTGGGGAAGAGCTGTAAAACCATGCAAATAGCCCATTTCTCATCAAACTTTCAAGTTACAAATACATTTTATTTTAATAAATATTTAAATACGCATGGCCCTGTGGTCTAATACTTTACTTCACGGTTATAATCCACGGCCATCATGATGGTCTCCGACTTGCCATTGGGGGCCCTTCGAGCCAGCTACGCGGCCTTTCAGTGTGTCCCTGTTATGCTCTGGGCTCTCCTACTTCCCCACACAGTAAGATGTTCCAGACTCGTCCTGTACTCTCTCTGCCCAAGCCCTACGACTAGCCATTTCTCCAAAGGACCCTGCTTCCTTTTAGTGGAAGATGGCATTTAGAAGCCAAGACACAGGTTCTCGGGGTGCTTGCTGCTGTTGGGGTGTCATTCCTCTAAGGGCCTCTCACTGCATTTATTTATCTCTTTCCATTTTTTGTTTCTTTTTTTTTTTAAACGTCTTTATTGGAGTATAATTGCTTCACGATGGTGTGTTAGTTTCTGCTTTACAACAGAATGAATCAGCTGTACGTATACAGATATCCTCATACCTTTCCATTTTTTAATTCCCATCTCTAACAGCAAGAGACCTGAAATGTCACCAGTAATTTGTTTCCTTATTTGCTCAATCCCATATGTAATCAATCTCCCTGCTCCAGTGGATGTCCCCTCCCCTCCTTGGGCTCTGACCTCAATCAGGACGGCCCCCGGGGATGGCTCTGCACCCCAGGATCCAGTTCCAGGAGCCTGGGGTGACAGGCTGGTAACACACTCGGGTGTCCTGGCTTCCCTCCCTCCCTCCCTTCCTCCCACCCTGATTTGTGTGTCCTGGAAACACCTCCCAAACACATATTTTCACTCAAATCTTTGTCTCAGGGTCTGCTTTTGGTGGAACTCAAAATAACAGAAAAGTCTTTTCTAAATTTTTATCAAGCTCATGTTACTTGAGTAATTTTTTTTTTCAAACTTAAAGTTTTAAAACAGTATCTCAGCACTTTCCTGACGATGGTAGTTTGTGCTTGTCTGAGACCAGGTGTTTTCCTCCCATGGAGCAGGGAGGAGGGAACAGGTGGGACCAAGGAGGGCAGAGCTGTCTGTCGGGGTCGCTGTCAGGACCTGCGGATCTGAGCCTCCCGGTCCGCTTCCCCAGCTGGGCCTCTGAGCTGCCCCTGAGGCCAGGGGCAGCTCATCACTGCCAGCACCCTCTTCTCTCAGGTTTCGGGGTGCTGCTGGCTGCAAAGCCCATCCCCAGGTCCTCAATAACCTCGATCCCTTACGAGCAGTTTGCCGATCCTTGGCCTCCTTGGCCCCAGGACACGGAAGCACACGGGGCAGAATTTGGTCTCCTTCGCCACTGGTCCCAGAGCCTGGCTTGTGCCCACAGGGGTACGAACTCCACAAATGTGTATTTATCTCGCAAGTGAACACGCACACGACCAGCTGCCCATACCCGTCAGTGCGGCAAGGGCTGGAGAGTGAGCTGGGCGGGCCTGGTGCAGCAGGTTCCTGCCCCTGTCCCCCAACGTGGCTGTGCCCGTGGCCTGGACCCTCCACCTCACAGTGTGGTGCGTGGCCTGTGGCAGGGGTCAGTGGGGGGAGCAGGCCACTGGCCAGGGCAGCTGCTGCAATGAGTTGAAAGGAGGAAGGCCAGACACTGGGGGCCCCCAACTGGGCTCATGGAGAAGGCAGGGCCTGGCTGACTCTCTCTAGGTACAGTCGTCCTGGCTCTCAGTGGGTAGGACGGCCTCTGCTGCTCCAGAAACTCCAACATCTTTCAGGGAAGGAGACCTCAAAGTCCACCGAGGCAGAGAAGTTTTAGCGACCAGTCCAGGCCCTCCCTGAATCTCAGGGCCCTTCACCCCTCACCTGTCCCCCACCCTACACCCACCCACTTCGGCTTCAATCTGGGTTCTGAATCTCTGGGAGTGTTGGTCCTTCCACCTGGCCCCTTCCCAAGACCCCTTCCTGGAGCCCTGCAAAGCCAGAGGACAGGGGGTGGGCGGGGTGGGGGGACACTGGGAGGCAGGCACTACCTGTCCAGGGGGCCTCAGGCTCAGGGCTCTCCCGGGAGTGCCCACTTCGCCGAACGAGGAGGAATTGTGCGTTTGGCTGGAAACCCTCCCTGGCCAGCCCTCTGGTGCTCCGACATCTCCTTTCAACTACAGGGGTGCCTGACTGTATGGGAGTCAAAGCCACGTGGAAGGAACGGACTCAGGTACCACAGAAATTTTTTTGGTCCAAATGGGACCAAGAAAACAGCCTCCGAAAGCAAAGAAGTCCCTTTTTTTTGTTTTTTAAGGATCCCTTTCCTAGTTGTCCTGTGCCAGCACCCGTAGAAAAACCTCGCGTTGGGGGCACTGGAGTGAAGAGTGGAAGACACAGCCCCCAGGGTGCAGGCGAGGGTGGGAGAGGGTTCACGTCCCTGGCGGGGAGTGGTCAGGCCTTCAGACGTGCAGCACTGCACCCTGAATCTCAGGCCTCCCTTGAGATTCTGCAGCCATGCATGTGTGGGGTCACCTGCCCATCCTAGCTGCATCTCCAGACACCTGCCCGTGCCTGAGGGGCGACAGAGGCCTGCAGAGACACCGGGTCGGCCCCCCCGGGGGCAGACACAACCCTGGGGAGTGCTGGTTTGGGGCCAGTTCCAGCTTCCACTGGGGAGGCAGGAGCAATAGGTAACAAGCTGAAGGTCACACAGGCTGAAGTGGGCATGGCCCTCTCGCCTCTGCCCAGCACTGTGCCCCCCCCACGTGTCCCCCAGTGCCCAGGACAGCTTGGGTGCCCTTGTCCTGTGGAGGAAAAGATGCCACTGCCCAGCTTGGCTGGACTGTCCTTCTGCCCTTGGCTTGAGCACCACCAGAATCGTCCTACTGATCTCAAGTCCCCACCCCCCAGGCCTCTGCCGGATGCTGATTCCTCTGGGGGCCGCCTGGCCAGCCTGTCCAACTTCAGGCCCCGTTCTTGTCCCACCCAGCACTTTCTGGTTTGTCTCTCCCTCGTGACAGAGCCACGACAGACAGTGGGGTCTCCCACTGGCCATGCCCTGGGTGCCCTGCAGATGTATAAATGGCTCTCTGGGCCCGGGGGCTATAGGGTAAGGGTCGTGCCAGCTTGCCGGGGGCAGGAAGGAGCCAGGTTCCTGCAGACCCACCCAGGGCCTGGGCCTGGCGGCGACCTGGATGCAAGCCCTGCCCTGGAACTGGTGGGAGGCCCAGCCGCTGGCTGTGTGGGGGGACCACCTTGCAGGGTCATGGGGTGGCCGGCCCTGCGGCCAGTCATCCCTTGGGGGTGTTGTGTCGCGCCTGCATCGCTTGGGGGTCCCCAGAACAGGCTGCATGATGTCTGTGTCCCTTGTGGGGTCTCCGGGGTGCTGCAATCCCAACGTGTGTAGTAACCCACATCGTGCTGGTCGGTGTCCCTGCCCTATGTGGGACGTGGATCCTCTGGCCCGGCGTCCCCGTCGCCTGCGTGGGGACCCCGGGGGCTGGGAGGTGGGCGGTGGAGGGTGTGCCGCCCCGTCCCGTCCGCCACTCAGCTGCTTTGCGGTTGTAGTGGGGACCTTGTGTGGGTTTCTGGGCTCTGGCGGCGATGCGGCGGCGGGTCGGGCGCTTCCGCAGCCTCGCAGGAAGCTGCCGCCACCGGATGGGGGACCCGGGGCGCCGCCGCCGCCCCCGCCCCCGCCGAGTGGCCTTCCGGCGGGCGGGCCCGAACGGAGCCGAACGGGGCTGAGTCCCGGACGGGCGGGGCCGAGCGGAGCCGAGCGGAGCCGAGCGGAGCCGAGTAGCGGCCGGGCGTGCCCGAGCGCAGCCGAGCGGGCCCGAGTCCCGGGCCGGCGGGCGGGCCCAAGCACGGCCGAGTGCGGCGGAGCGCCGAGCGCGGGCGGGGGGAGCGCGCGTTCCTGGAAGAGCCGGACCGGGGGGCGGGCGCATTCCTGGCCGGCGCTCGGCTGAGGCGGGCGCGCGGCCCCAGACGACGCGCGGGGCGGGGCGGCGGCGCGGGGCGGGGCGGGGCGCGGGGCGGGGCGGCGGCGTGAGCTCAGCGCCCGGCGCTCAGTCCGAGCTGGAGCGAGCCGCCGGGAGGATGTACGCCGAGCCCCGCGCCGCCGCCGCCGCCGCGGTCTGAGGCCGCCCCACAGGCGCTCCGCCGTCCCGGAAACCGCGCGCGCGCGCGCGCGAGCGGGCGGGCAGGCCGCGGAGCCGGGCGCGGGCGGCGGGGTGGGCGCGGGCCGGGCCGGGAGGCCGGCGGCGGGCGCGACGCGGCCGGCCAGCGCCGCCGGGACGAGCCGGGCGGGCGCCGCGCGGTGGGAGGAGCGGGGCGGCGGCGGCGGCGCGCCGCGCGAGGACGGCCCGGCGGGCCCCGCGCCCGCGCCCCCGCTCCTCCCGGGCCCCTCGGCCTCGGTCGCCGCGGCGATTCGCGCCTCGCGGCGCCGGCACCTGCCCGCGCGCCCCCCGCGAGCCCCGGGCCCGCGAGCGTTGGCGTTGGCGTTGGCGGCGCGCGCTGGGGCATGCCCCGCGCCTAGGGCCCGGGGGGCGCGCGGGGGGCGCGCGGGGGGCCCGGGCGGCGGCGGCGGCGGGCGCGGCGCGGGGCGCGTGGATGTGGCGCCGGGCCCGAGCGGCGGCGGGCTCCAGCGGCGGGACCCCTTCGCCCCGCCCGCCTTCCCCTTCGCTCCGCCGGGCGAGGCCGAGGCCGCGGCCGTGATCGGCCGGGAGCCGGCGGCGGGGGGAGGCCGGGGCCGGGGCCGGGGGCGCCGCCGGGGCGCGCGGGGCAGCGGCGGGGGCCGCGGGGGCCCGGGCGCGCGGGAGCGGGAGCGGCCTGGGGAGCCGGAGCGCACCATGGAGGGGGCGGCGGGCGGCCGCGGCGGCTTCCAGCCGCACCCGGGGCTGCAGAAGACGCTGGAGCAGTTCCACCTGAGCTCCATGAGCTCGCTGGGCGGCCCGGCCGCCTTCTCGGCGCGCTGGGCGCAGGAGGCCTACAAGAAGGAGAGCTCCAAGGAGGCGGGCGCGGCTGCGGTGCCGGCGCCGGTGCCCGCGGCTGCCGAGCCGCCGCCGGTGCTGCACCTGCCCGCCATCCAGCCGCCGCCGCCCGTGCTGCCCGGGCCCTTCTTCATGCCGTCCGACCGCTCCACAGAGCGCTGCGAGACCGTGCTGGAGGGCGAGACCATCTCGTGCTTCGTGGTGGGCGGCGAGAAGCGCCTCTGTCTGCCGCAGATCCTCAACTCGGTGCTGCGCGACTTCTCGCTGCAGCAGATCAACTCGGTGTGCGACGAGCTGCACATCTACTGCTCGCGCTGCACGGCCGACCAGCTGGAGATCCTCAAAGTCATGGGCATCCTGCCCTTCTCGGCGCCCTCGTGCGGGCTCATCACCAAGACGGACGCTGAGCGCCTGTGCAACGCGCTGCTGTACGGCGGCGCCTACCCGCCGCCCTGCAAGAAGGAGCTGGCGGCCAGCCTGGCGCTGGGCCTGGAGCTCAGCGAGCGCAGCGTGCGCGTGTACCACGAGTGCTTCGGCAAGTGCAAGGGGCTGCTGGTGCCCGAGCTCTACAACAGCCCGAGCGCCGCCTGCATCCAGTGCCTCGACTGCCGCCTCATGTACCCACCGCACAAGTTCGTGGTGCACTCGCACAAGGCCCTGGAGAACCGGACCTGCCACTGGGGCTTCGACTCGGCTAACTGGCGGGCCTACATCCTGCTCAGCCAGGACTACACGGGCAAGGAGGAGCAGGCGCGCCTCGGCCGCTGTTTGGACGACGTCAAGGAGAAGTTCGACTACGGCAACAAGTACAAGCGGCGGGTGCCCCGGGTGAGTGTCCCGCGCCAGGGCCGGGCCCGGGGAGTGAGTAGGAGGGCGGGCTGCGGAGAGGGTGGGGGTTCTTTCTGGGTCAGGGGCTCTGCCTCCCCTACACGTCTCAGGGTTTGGTTTGGTTTTAAGGAAATTTGGGGTGGCGTTGGCGTCCCCGTAGATGGCCATGTATCTGGGAGGAAGATCCTCCCGTCAGACTCGTAGGACAAGCCGCTTGCCTGGTTGGGGGCCTCGAGGGCTGGCCAGGGTGGGTGAAGCCTTCCTGAGGCCCGTAGCCGGTGCCCAGCTGGGCCGGGAGGGGCAGGCTTCAGACCTCGGACTCTTCTGCCCTGAGTCCCGGGAAGTTTGATCCCGGCCGTGTCCAGGCTGGAGCCGGGAACCCAGGCCTTCCTGGGGCCCAAGGAGGTGTCCAGGCCGAGTTGGCGGAAGGGACCTGCCCTGGCCCTAACGCTCCCGGGCTGGCACACAGAGGGGCGCCTGCCCCTGTGTCCTAGCAGGCAGAACTTGGCCGGGCAGGGCCTGTTTGTGCCTTGAAGGTTTGGGAGACAGACACTAAACCGAAGCCAGGTGTTCGGGCCGTGGTGGCAGGGGGCCGAGACTCGGCGACTCCAGCTCTGTGTGTCTGCCCTGGCCTGCCAGGGAGTGAATCCCAGAGTCCCCCGTGCGGGGGCGAGGGCCCCTTGGCACTGGGCTCGGGGACTGGTCAGCGGGCAACCGGGGCCCCGAGTGTCAGGGTAGCCGCCGGCCTGCGATTTGTTTTGGATGTGCACGTTTCCTTCTCTCCTTCCCTCTGAAACGCTGAAGGGCGCCGCGGGGAAGGGCCGCTGGCCTAGTCCCTGTTGTTTGCCAGACGGAGGATCTGTGTGATCCAGCCTGGCAGCTCCCGGGCCACTCGACGCCGAAGCCATTCAGTGGGGTCCACGCTAACTTTCTGTGACATCTCCCCCCTCTCCCCGAGTATTTGTAACTTTTCTTTTAAATATCCAGGCTTATTAAATTGCACACACAGAATGCTGCATTGGCTCAGCTATTCTTGGGAGGCCTAATTAATTCAGCTATTGCATCAAACTTTTTTTTTTCCAAATCTGTGAATAGATGCTCCCGCCCGGTTTTCTCTGGGCGCCCCTCCAGCGGAGTGTCAGAGTCTCAGGGAGCGGAGGAGGGGAGGGGAAGTGAGGGCCTGTCGCCTGCGCTCAGAGGGGGCCACCGTGTGCGTTTGTGGATTTGTGGTGTTTCTGCCCTTGGCTAGGCTGGCGCCCAGGTGGCAGCTGTCTGCAGACTATGGGGCTGGGATTGGGCGGGAGGGACAGTCTGAGTGGGCAGCGCTGGTGGGGGAGTATGCTGTTGGGAACGGCCGGCGGCGGATCCCAGCAGGCTGGCCGGGCCCTTCGTTTTAGACTGGGAGCTGGCTCTGGGTGGCGTGGTGGGCGCTCCCTGCACACTGGGGGCCTTTCTGTTTGGGGTGCCCGCCCCCTCGACAGCCATCGTGGCCCAAGGGAGCCCCGTGTGCAAGGTGGTGGTGGGTTCTGGCCGACTGGGGAAGCCCGTGGTGGGTCACTTACCCCAGGGTGGAACGCAGAGGGGCTTGTCTCACAGGGTGTGTGTCTGTGTCTGTGTCCGAATCTGGGTCGTGTATGTTTGTGGCTGTCTTCCTGGGGTGGGCTCTTTGTTGCAGCTGCAGGCCCGGGCCTCAGCCCTCTTGCAGCAGGCTCTGCTCTTCTGGACATGGGTGTCCGTAGGCTCAGCTTGTGGGCCCAGGGACTGCCAGGTGAGAAGGCAGGACCGTCCCCTGAGCCACAGTCCCAGAGAAGAGGTCAGAGGGGGCTTTCGTGCCTGGTGATTTCAACAGATGGTCAGCACCACTCTTTCTTCTTCTGTGCTCCCCCCAGCGCCGCTCAGAAAGCTCATTCACCGGTTAAAAAAAATCTCCCCAGTGATGACGAAGATGTGGTCGCTGTAAGTGGTTGTTGGGGTCCCCAGGCCGAAGTGTCAGCGCGGCCTATCCTCGCAGTGGTGGTATGGGCCGGCGGTCCGGTGTCCCTCCTTCCGGGCCTCGGCCGTGTGGCTGGCTGGCCGCTCACACGCTTCTGTGCCTTCCTGCCACTCCTGCACCTCGGGGGCCACTCCTCCCGCCGGCCTCGCCGCCTGTCCTGTTCCTGGGACTCTGCTCACTGCCTTCTCTCTGTGACTATGCGGTTGGGAATTCTGGGGTGCGTGGTCCTTTCCAGAAGTCGCCAGCACAGCCTGTCTACATGCCAGGGACACCCCACCCGTGAGAAGGGGGGGTCTGAGCCTCAGGATCAGGGGGGACCCATGGCTGCCCAGACCCTGCTTGTTCTGGAAGAAGCTGCCTGGGAAGACCCCCTCCCGGCGCCCTGCCCGCCTCTGTTCACCCCTCCCACTCCCTGCTCGACAAATTATTCACGGTTTGTGTTTTGATTCTTCACTTTTCTTGCAGTTTATTTTAATGTTTTTGATCTTCCAAGGCTGAGGGCAGAAAGGAACAAAGAGTGTGCTGGCGCCACTCTTTGTGGGGGCCTTGGGTGCCGGGGCCATGAAGTGAGCCGAAGCGTGTTCCAGGTGCTGGGGGCCTAGGGGTCGCCCGGGTCTCCTGCCAAACGGAGGCCCGTGTCCTCTGCCGTCAGCAGTGGGCAGGGGCCAGGGACTCTTGTGGGGTCCTGGTGCCCAATGGCCTTCGCTTGCCCTGCTGTGCCTGCGGCCTGACCACGGTGGGGCGGCAATCCCAGCGTGGGACCGAGTGGGGGAGCGGGGCTCCAGCCTGAGTTGGAAATCCTTGAAGGTGGCACGTCCATGTGTGCCAGCCGGGGCCCTCCTCAGTGATGCCCCCCACACCACGGGGGCCCCAAGGATGTGCTCTTGGCCGTCCCACGGCTGTCGGGGCTGCCGGGGCCCTGGCTGCTGGCCTTGGTGTCCCGCGCTGGGCGGGTCAGAACGTGGAGCCCCATGGGGCTGCTCCCATGTCCTCGCCCTGTCCTTCACTCCGTTCCTCAGTAGCTGCCTGACCTTGAGCAAGTTTGCCTCAGTTTCCTCACTTGTGAAAGGGGGACTGTAGTAAGTAGCGGCCATTGGCAGTGTTTTTTGGGGGGTGTTTAAGTGATGAGGTCATAGGCGGGGCGAGGACGTGTCCTTTTGCTGCTGGGAATGTGTGGCGAGGAGATGGGGGCCTCAGAGCCTTCCCACGGTCCCCTCCCCTTTTCTTCTGCCCAGTCGGCTCTGTCCCTTATCTGATGGCGTTTGAACCAAACCGGACTGGTGTTTTAACGGTACGGCTGCTATCAGTCATGGCGGGACGTTGGTGCTGCCAGCCTGGCTGCTGCCTGGGACGCACCCCTCGTTCCGCGGGAGGGCTCCTCGCGGGCCGAGCAGGCAGCGGGGCGGGGGTGTGCTGTCTCCCCGGGGCTGGAGCCTGGCAGGTCCTTGTGTGGTTAAGAAACAGGCTCCTGGGCACTGCTGTGCCTTCGGAGGGTCCCGCTTCTCAGACTGGAGACCGGGGTTGGTGTCGCTCGCTGGCCTCTGTCCTTCAGACGCTGAGTCCTCGCAGGAGTCTTCTTTGTAGAATTGCCTGCACCCCAGGGGCTCGTGGGCCGATGGTCGCCGTGGTGTGTGGTGGGAGCGTCCACGGTGCAGTCTGTCTAAATTCCTAGCGCTGGAACAGTTTCCCTGCGTCACCTGGTGACGGCTCTCTAGTCAGAGAGCAGTGTTTCCTCAAAGTAGAGACCCGGCCGGGCTGTTGGCGTGGAGGAGTGCTGAGTCTCTTGGTGTCTGTTGCGGACCGGCTGTGGCTGTGGTGGAGGGAGAGCTGGGCCTCTCAGCGTGTTGTGCATTCAAGCCGAAATGGCCACCGGAGGGCATGGAATCAGGAACGAGCGACAGACTGGAAGGGACTCTGGCCAGCATGCCTTTCCCGGCACTCCCTCTTTCACGGGGGGCTGTGCTCACCGGATGCCGTCAGGTTTGGCCCTAGATGTAGAGGTTTGGCTGTCCTGTTTTGTCTTTAAGATATTTATTTCTTTACCTGTGTATCTGTCTATTTATCTATCTGTTTTCCTTGTCTGTGCCGGGTCTTAGTTGCGGCATGCGTGCGGGAGCTAGTTCCCCGACCAGGGATCGAACCTGGGCCGCCTGCATTGGGAGTGGGTATCTTAGCCCCTGGGCTGCCGGGGAAGTCCCTCGGCTGTCCCTTTGTCCACTTGTTTTGCTCGAGGTTTTCATGGGGCTCCATGGTGATTCCCTGGCTTTGGACGCTCAGCTGAGAAGGCGGGGTGCCATTGGGTGATGATGCGAGGCCAGGCTCCCGGACGGGCCCCGCCCCTTGTGCAGGAGGACAGGGTCTGCGGGTCGGTCTGGTCCTCAGCGCGAAGGCCCCAGAGTGAGGCCGGGGCCTTGTCAGAAGGGAAACAGCAGCTTGAGGAGCCTCTGGTTGCTGCCCTGAGCCCTGTGGTCAGCCGTGTGTGAGGGAGGGAAGGCGTGGGGGGCTGGCCCTCAGTCTCTGTGCAGTGAGCGGGCCACGTCTGCCCGTCTTCAGCCATCCTGCCGATGTCCAGGACGTCTCCTTGGAGCTGGGCGGGGCCCTCGTCTCTCTGGGGGCAGCAGGGTCCTTGAGTGGCCCTCGCCTCCGACCCTCCTGCCCCCCGGGGCCCCTCAGTCGGCGCGGGGCTTCGAGAGTAGGGCCAGTGGCTCCCACGCTTCGTTGCAGCGCGTCTGGGTACCGTCTGTCTGAGATGCCAGGCGAGGCCCACGAGGAAGTCTGGGGAGGGTGACCGCCGGGCGCCGGGAGGGCCTGAGGGAGGCGGTGCTTCCGGGCCCTGCGCCCCGGCTGTCTGGCGGGAGGTGTCCGTGGCCGGCGGCCGGACTCTCTGTGGCCCGGAGACTGTTACACAAGCAGCAATAATGTGTCTCTTTCTAAGGATTGCGAAAGTTGGGGAGGATTTCTCCACTGGAAGAATTATGCAAGTTTCAACTGAAATGTTTTTTAGAAG